ACCTAACAATCATGAAAGTTACTTTTATGTTCGATTTTTTGAAAACTCGATCTAATTCATTAATGTACCCTAGTTCATATGAAATAATAATGAACTCTGAATCTGTGTATTATTGAAAAATAGAAGATTTTCGAAGATTGTCTCTGAAACTACTTAGGGGTAACGTAACAAGCCCGCGGAAAAGAAAGTGGCTGGTGTAAGCTATCAGAAATATGTATAATGAATACCAGTATTCGTCCTATATACATCTATATAGTTCTAGACTAGACTGGTTACTTCTGATCACAAAGATATGATCAATTGTATGTAAACTCGAAATTTAAAGATCTGCCAAGAATAGAAACAAAATGCTCTACCCTGAATTTCTATGTATCAAAAATCGTATTAGATAATCTACATATCGGATCCAAGTTCTTTTTTGCTTCCAAATCATACATGCTCATGGATTAGCTATAATGGGGTGCATTTCCGTTGCCGTGCTGTATGTAGAAACAGTTGTTGAACTAGAAACAATTCTACTCCTTGTCGATTTTCGGTAGTTGTATGTAGTCTTCGATTACTCCATCACTAAAACATTGACCCTCAAAAGATGATCCAATATGCAATGGTTTTTCGTACAGCAAATTCCAATATGAAAAGTTTTTTGAAATACAATGTGTTATAATATTTTTGTATTTCACTAATACAAAAATACTGAATTAATAGCTAATAGCTGAATACTTTTAGAAGCCTTCGTTGAATAATTATCTGACTTTAAATGCAAAAAACTCTGTTTTCATCATTATAGCACATTCGGTATTGTCAGAGAGTGAAAGAATTCCAAGAATGCAAACATGCTGGTACAAAGAAAGCAACATAGTCGTCTCAAGCAAGTGGCACTGCAATTAATTCACAAAATCACTGAGATATTTCTAACCGCTATGCCCCTTGAAGTCAAAAGACGCGGCCAACGCATTTTCTAATATTGCATTAAAGATAGTATTAATTGATGTCGGGGGGTATTAATATAATTTGGTCAATGATATATTCTGTACGATGCGCAAATAATTGAAATATCGTGAAAACTAATTTTGTTTAAATATTTTATTTTCAGGGCAATTTATATTTGAAATAGTTTTTCATTCCTACCTTCTACAGATCTATAAAATAATCAGAGTATTGAATTTAAAAATGAATACAAGTGCAGAAAGAACAAAAAATTACTGCAATTGATAAAACAGCTTTTAAAAAAAAATCTAATATGTCAGTAACTTGAATTTATAAAATTTTGCACATAAAAATAAATATGTATCATCTGGTGACGTTTTAAAGACTATCCATTTTTTTCCCAACCTACTTAAATCAAAACATTATAATTTGTAGTTATAATTCGTCTTTTGATGTAAATCGATTTGATATTATTATTGAGACCATTCTTCGAATAGGTACTGTGGCATCCGTTTCTTGATGATAATCTCCATTTTTTACCGATTAGCTTCACCTGTATGTATGTATGTTTGTTTGCATTTCAGTTTGTTTGTAACTCTCAAGCTCGGGATCTGTATTTGACAGAATTATCGACATTATTGCTTGATCTATTCGCGGGCAGATGGCGCTATACTTAACCTCCTTGATACAAATCGAACTCACTTTACATGTATTTCTTCATTTGAAAACAGTTTTTTTATTAACACGCGCGCCTGCTGCCTTATTCGTAACCATCCTTTGCGCGCCTGCTGCCTTGAGCTTGGTAGCTGATTTTCAGGCTCCCTCTCCGGAATCGGAAAATATCAGTGGTCATTTTTCCAAACAATATACGGTTGATTGATCCCAGAGTTAAGATAAAATAAATAAAGTTTAAAAAGACTAAAAAACACGCTTTTATAGCATACCAAACTGAAAAATTAAAAAATTTTATAGTTTAAAAAACTAAAAAACACACTTTTAAAGAATATCGAACTAAAAAGTTAAAAAAAATATAATAAGCTTCAAACAATAACGAACGTTATTTTTTTAAGCTATTTTTTTTAATTATTTTCAATTTTTTAGTTCGATGTTCTTTAAAATCGTGTTTTTTAGGTTTGTAAACATAGCACTCTAGAGAATTGGCGTCAATGATTTTACTCATCAAAAGGATAGCTCACTTTTTCTGAAGACAATCATTTCAATGATACTTTTTTAATAATATGTGTAATTGATGACTTGTTTATTTTGTGGTACTTCATAATAACTTTAATGAAATGAATAAAAATACTTTTGTCTATTTTCTATTCTATTTTCTTCAATTCAAACAGCCAAGTCGGTCCTATTGATGGGTGCAGTGTGTCTGTTGACGGTTTAATAGGGAATGTTCCTCCTGACGAAAATCAAGTAGTTTTCATAAAAGAGCTCTAAAACAATGCATTTTAAACTTATCATTTCAACATTTTTCTTTAAAAAATTATTCAAATACTTAGAAAAGAGTAATGAAATAATGCATTCAACATTTAAAGGGATTCGTTTCTATTTCACCATTTGGCAACATCGGTTATAGCTAATAAAGGACAATGAATCTGTTACCTGTATGAGACAAACAAAGATGACATATTTCAGAGGCGTGCTGTTCTGTTTACTTATGTTGAGACATTCTGTGACAAATGACATTTTGTGCACCTAACCTATCTTCCTCTATATAAATAAATAACAAAACAACTGTTGTTTATGTGGCTTGTGGAGGTCGTATTGAACTATAATTTATATTTTGCCTTAATTGTTGATTTATAAAGATAATTTTCCTTTTTTAAAGTAGAATATCTAGGTACGAATAAATTGTTTCAACTTGATATAGGCGCTGTTGCCAATATGTGAATCAGAAACAAATCCCTTTAAAAATGGAAACCCAACATTTGAAACATCAATTTGAATACTTTTCGAAGTGAATTTGAAAAACTCATGAATTAAACTCAACTTTATTTTGTTCAAACTTGCATTTGCTGTAATAACCCAAATTGAGGAACATTCCCCATTCAAAGCAATATCTCTTTATACCGCCTTCAATAAAACAATGTTTTTTCTATCTCCTTCAACTAAATACTTATTTGTTAGGCAATGGCTTGGTTACTAGTGGACATATTTTTACATTTGTCGTAGTTGATTTGTTATTTACTTCTGTAGTTTCTCTCATTTCTGGACAGACTATAAATGAAAAGTAAAAATAGAAAATGAAGCCCATCGGGTAAACATTTTCTCAGAAATTCAATCACTTGTTCAATCAATGAATATTTTTTTGAGAAATTCGAATAAACTAGATCATATTCTTGGAATCCTTGTTTGTAACTTTTGGAATTGTTTATCAGCGATTTTGAAAGTTTCGTAAAAAATTAACACGCTTTTCAACTCACTCTATCAGTCATTATAAAATTTATCTAAATAATGCCTATCCATTCCTTAACAACTTTTTCGGAACTGGTCAAGCAGCTGATATATTTTATATATTTAGAGACGTTGTTGATGTATTGAACACAAATCATTTCTTAACGAGTCCACTATTTCCAAGTGAAACAATGTCATGATTCAAGGCTCCAACGATAAGTTACAACTTTTTGTCATTTGAGTAGTAACCACAGGATTTCATCCAAACTTTTTTAAATGTAATTCAATTTGTTCAATGGCGAAGCAGTTTTAATGGCGTTTCATCGATTACCTCACTGAAAGCAATTACAACAAAACAAAAAATTCAACAACATAATAACATTGAATGATATTGAAATGAAATTACCTACATGAGGGCAAAGACCAAGGAAAATCACTATATGGAAAAAGTACGTTCAAAATTGATATGGAATCGGCTACTTAAGTTCTTTCAGTTACTATTCAATATCAAAGAATTTGATATGACATAGTAAGTAATAAGGGCTTAAGAAATATTCAAATCATGTTTGTCCATTTTAGACTCATGATGGAGGTTTTGAAAGAACTAGTATTTGTGTCATCATAGAGCAAAGAACCATCCAAAAGTGAAATTTTTGGTGATCGCCAAATAGTATTACATAATTTTTTTTTGTTATCGGTCTGAAGAAGTAATGAAAAATGCTGTGCACGAAATCAGAGTCAATAAATTCCATATAGTCTAATCAGCAAGTTCAAAAACATGAAAAATAGAGATGAAGGTCCTAAAAATATGAGCGATAGTTCATTCGATTCGTAATCACCTCTAAAAAACTGGTTTTGAAGGATTTTAGTACAGGTAAAAAAAATTGTTATTAACACAATAAGATTAAAAAAAATGGTATTCAGTTTTTCACTTGAATGAATCGAGTCCCGTAGAAAAAAAGTTTTATCACCATTTTTCAAAAAGTTATTCAACTGTTAACTAACAAATTTTTTTCCCAATCTCCGTTGGAATAAATAATGGGATAAAAGGTATAAATAATTGGCCTATAAATTTTAAACTTCGTGGAGCCCTTTTGATATATATACTTCATACGATCCTGCGATAAAAGTGCATGAAAATTTATTAATTTGTTAATTATGATTTTTTATAACTATTGCAAACTGAAATATGTAAAAGTTGTTGATAATTTTTTTTCAATTGATATTTAGCTATGTCAGTTTTCACATTAAACAATGGCAGTTATTAACATAGGATATGAATTTTTTACGTAATTTGTTTAATAAATTGTTTAAATTACCGTATCGTATGCTATTAGAAAGTATAATAAATTAAAAGAAAAATTTGATTGCACTTTGGAATAGTCTGTGAAGCATATATTAAATGCTGCTACTTTATGCTGAAAGGGATATGTCGAGAAATTATCTGTGAAAATGTCTGTATAAGATGGTTAGTGAAAAATTGCAAAATCATGTTTATTATTAATTTCAGTTATAGTCGAGTCTAGCTAGATTCAATTGTAATGCCATAATGTAGTTTCCAGTTTAGACACTTTTCGAGCTATTTGTTGTAAATGTAAGAACTATCATTCTACTTGGGGTTAAATAAATGTCTTGTTTGTTGTTATGATATGAAAAACGTCACAACTCACTTGTTTTTTTTCTGATTTTCTTCTGCAGAAGTAATCCTATTCCGACCAATAAGAGGGTTAGGAGAAACGTCAAAATCACACTAAGAGCGATGGATCCGGCACCGTAGCAATTAGTCTCTTCTTGCGCATTTGCATGAGTCGCATAAGACAAAGTCAGCAGAAAGCACAACAAAAAACACTTTGTACCCATGTTGGTTTTCGGTTTTCAATTATCCATCTTCTTTGATGAATTTGATCTGTAACAAATTGTGAGAAATGAAGATTCAGTGTCTATAAATATAAAATAAATGTAATAGGTAAGCAAAATGCCTATGAAAAAACGATAAATTATAAAAGAGTGTGGTAATTCAGGGAAATTATAACAGCTCTTCCAGATGACTATCCGTATTTTTTCGAATACACCCAGTAAATTATACTCTGAATGGATTGTTACACTCTTATCACTCTTGCATTTGTGTTTCATTCAGATTGTTTTGGGTATAAATAGTTCCACAAATAACTTCAACATGAAAGTCGAATGGTGTTGAACCCGGTTACCTAGCAGGCTATCTAACTGGATCGATTTTACACGAACATAAGCTTTCACGGCCGGAGTCACGATTAAGAACTACAAAACGTTTCATCTGATATTGCGGAGGTCATATTCATTAGTATATGCGTTGACTGCAACGATTGAGAAATACTAGAGAGATCCGTTTTTAATCGCATCTATGATTTCAGGAGATAATGAGGGTGACGAAAGCGATGGTGGTTTGGTGTCCATGTGAATGATTACACGTATGCTATTTTATCCTGATTGATCAATGACAGGTATGCTTAAGGTGGATTGTCGATAAGATTTTTGTTCTATTTCGTTTCTGGCCTTTTTGAGTACTGCACACCTATCACGTTCTTTTGACTCGAACACCTTCTTCTTTTCTGTTGAAACTGTTGTGATGCTTATACAACCGAACGACCTGCCTATAAGTCGTGCTCAGCAATGGATTGAATTTGACAGGACAAGTTACTTTATATTTCATTGCGTGGTCTATTTCTGTAATTGCGGATTTTTCCCTTTTCATAAGGCGGCTGCTACGCCTTGTATCTTGTACCCTGCTATTGATGTTGTGTTTGACAGTTTCGATGTAAACTGAGTCACAGGAACAGGAAATCTTGTAAACACCGGCAGATGCTAGAGGCTCTCTTTTGTTTTTGACCGATCTAATAGTGTGCGTAGTTAATTATTTGGCTTGTAAATGGTCTTACTTTAAAATAGTTTTTCAATATTGTTCGTGACTTCGTTTGCGTAAGGCAAGTAGACTTTGCTTTTATAAGCCTCGTTTGATTTCTTGCGATGTAAACCCATTGGCCTCTAAAGCTTAGTCTAGATGACGAAGTTCTTCTTTAAGATGTGTGTTTTTATATTGGCATGTTTTTGCCCTGGATGGTGGGGTCAGTTCTTCTTGAGATATCAACCAGTATGGAAAGGTTTGCTATAACCCGCGTGACCTAGGTTTCCGTCACTTTTTCTGTTGACCAGTACATTCAAAAACCGTATCTTTCCTCCGTTTGTGTTTTCCATGGAAAACCGGACGCAAGGCCGAGTGCAGTTGATAGGGCTTAGAAACTTTTCTTATGCTTGTTCTCTGTGGTTCCAAATAACAAAAGTATCATTAAGTTCCTTGTAGAAATATTACCACAGGGCTGAGAGAACTTACCATGGCTACCCCATCCATTAGTACGTGGAAACAGTTATTCCATTGGAAATATGTAGTGGTGAGACCATGGTCGAAAAGGACATGGTCGCCTGAGAAAATGTTTTGACCTACTCTAATGTCTCCTTGACTAGTACCATGGTGAAGAGAGAAACGACATCAAAGCTGGCCTGGATAAAATTCGGCTGCAGATCCAAAGTTGCTTACTCCATGGAGTGAGTTGAGTTCTTGATGTACGATTATTTTTCTTCGTATACTGCAGCCATACAATTTTTTTTTGTGGACATCACAGCCCTTTTTGTTCTCACCACTACATATTTTCAATAGAAAAACTGTGATTACGAACACATTAATAGGTCGCCATGGAAAGTCCTCTTAACCCTATGGTAAAATTTCTACAAGGAACCGCACTTTTCATATCTACCTGTTGCTTCAACTACATTGAAAACACTTTTGTTATTTGGAACACGGAAAACAAGCATAAGAACAGTTTTTGCATCACATTTGCATCCATTTATCCTCGCATTCAGTTTTCCATAAAAAGGAAAACGAAGAGAAGATACTTTTTTGTATGTTATTGTTATTTGTTATATAACATGACAATATCGATGATGGTACTCTGGAGAGGTAAGTACCATTATAGTACCATGTATATTCGAAAAAATTTATAAAAATTTCATTTTTATTGATACATACATCATTTTTAATACATAAATCGAACTGTCGGAAATAAGTATCAATTGCAGAGAAATAAGAGAACTGTGAAAAGTCTTTTATAAAGAGTGGAAACATTAAGAAGAAAGTACGTAGTATTTATTTACAATGTTGTTCTACTATGAAAAGAAGAGATTTTTGATATCTATGTATGGAGGTAGGTTTATTTTCTCTTGTCCACGTTACAAAAATGTAATTATTTATGTTTTTCAAGAAATCGAGTAAAGCTTTGAAGGTCTTATTAGGTAAGTATAAGACTCGGTATAGTCCGGTCAAATTAGACCAAAAAATAAGAGTAAAGCTACCTAAATTGCCACCAAGCTGAAAATTAGTAACATTGTTTAAAATATGATTAAAAATAAAATTTTAAAGTTCCCATCTTTCCCCTGCATGGAAAAAATTGTATTGAAGGTCAAAGGTCAAAAAAATGAGTTTTTCGCGATTTTCAGCAAAACGGTAAGTTTTATCATAAAAATTTATCACAAAAATTGTAGATCATAAAATTGTTCACAAAAAATGTATCAATACTTTTTTCCTACGAGTCACCGTTGTTGAGATATAACAATTTAAAAAGTTGTAGAAGTTGTAATCGTCATAATATGCATGAGTACGCCACGTATATTTATATCTCTGTAGTTGCAATACCTATATGTTAAAATATTTTTGTATCGGTCATTGTAACTTACACTTATGATATAAAATATACATAAGTTATAACTATAAGAATATCAGCTATCAGCTGCTGAATATCACGAAAAACTCATTTTTTTCAACCTTTGACCTTGAATAATTTTTTTTCATACTAGGGAAAGATGGGGAACTTTCAAATTGAATTTTTAATCATATTTTAAACAATCTTATTGATTTTCAGCTTGGTGGGAATTTACGTAGCTTCGAATGTCTAAATTGACCGGAAAAGTATAACAAAACTTTTCTATTCGTGGTACTAGCACATCGAATTATTTTTTATATTTTGTCAGATGATCACGTGGTACGGAAACTAATCTAACTTTTTCAAAATTTGTTTAGGCAAAATTATTTTTGTGTGCAGTTATAAAGTAATGTTGTCTCGTCATAAAGGTTTTCTTTTGAGGATTTTTTTTGTAATTTATTTGATTTGATGATGGACTCAAATGTGCCAAGTCACTTGAACACTTCCCGTGAAAGTATCTACAGAAGAGACATAAATCTCCAACATTTCTTCGATGTTCCAGGCAATTCAGTCAGACGGATGGCTCTTTTCTGGAAGGAATCCAGCAAATTCAGGGTATGTTTGGGGGCAGACATCCATACATGAGAACAATATTCACTGTGAAGGAATCATTTCCATTTTGAAAACTATATATTCATAAATATTTTTCTCAAAACATTAGTTACCATGAGTCAGAATTTCCAAACCCAAATAATTGAGATCATTTTTCTCGCTATATTATATAACACCTAATTTGACTGTATGCTTTTCACTAATATCATACAGTAGACGGTTTAATGACTGTTTGCCTGATAATTTTGTTTTAATCGTATTACTAATATATGCCAACAAATATAACACGCTTTATTTTAACAAAATGATAAAACATAGAGACGAATTCTAGTTTACTTATATTTATAAGCAGCGGGGGAGGAGATGGACCTCTAAAAGTAACTTTAAATACAACTGTCTCATGGGCAAGGACGTTGGATAAAAGATAAAAAAATTACACTGCAACTTCCAACACAAAAAGGCTGCAACGGCAACACTATGTCGCCACCTTTTTGTATTGGGGGAGGCAATAGCTTTGATCCAGGAGCCCTGAATAATGAAGACCAAAATTACTGGTATCACCCCTTCTCTGGAACATAGTTCTGGATACCCTGATCAAATACCTCAACAATATTAGATTCTACACAATTGCGTATGCAGATGACATAGTTATCTTGCAGACCGGCAAATTTGTGAACACACTGTGCGATAGACCGCAGGATGGGCTCAAATTAATAGAAACATGGTGTAAGGAACACTCACTGTCGATCAATCCCAAGAAGACTGAGATGATCCTTTTCACCAGGAAAAAGTTCATCGGGCTTAAAACCTCCCGAAATTTTCAAAAGCAAACTAAACTTATCTAAAGAGGTGATATACCTTGGTACTATCCTCGACAGGAAGCTAACATGGAACTCTCACCTACAGAGTAAGGCAAAAAAACATATGTGGCTTATGACCAATGTCGGAGGACAGTGGGACGCGCATGGGGTCTTTCATCCCGTGTGGTCATCTGGATCTACACTGCAATAATAAGACCTATGTTAACGTACGGAGCCATTGCATAGGGACCAAAAGTTCTACAAGCAACGGCCATCCAAAAATTATATCAAATACAGCGACTGGTTTGTTTAAAAATCACAGGAGCCATGAGAAATACACCAACGGAATTAATTACTGGTCTGACCCCTTTGGACCTGTACGTTAAGGAGCTTGCGTTAATGGCCATGTTACGATTGCGCACGGATGGTGTAAACCTCGAAGTAGGCTCAGGGTGTGGAGTGTACTCCAGATCACTAAGCCTAACGATTAAGTCGGGAATGGGAAAAATACCAGCGTGGTCCAAATAGAACTGGCTGGTTTCCCAATCGCCACAAAAGAAATAACCGGGAAAGGAATTACTGGCAAAAACATAACAATCTGCACTGATAGCAGACAAACTCTATTAGCCTTGAACAGACAACGTGTTACCTCAGGACTAGTACTGGAGTGCCACCAAGATTTAGCCAAAGCCTCGGTAGATAATAACATTATCCTGAGGTGGGTAAAGGTAAAGACAGAGTAAAGGTAATCGCATTGCCGACT